CCCTCCTTCTGGAACTTTCTGAAAAGGAATTTTACTGTAGTTGTTCTGTCCCTGCTCCACTATTATATGTCACCATGTGATTGGTAGGGATGAGAGGTGAGCAGCAATTATCTTTTCAGTCCATATGTCACTGGACCATCCGGTGGATTCTGGCAGAGACTGTGTAGCCGATCCTTAGTATCCCATACATATCCCCTCAGCCTCACCACTCACAGGCATATTGGGAAGTTTCTAGCTGCCAGCACCTGTGTTTCTTTGCATGAAAGCATTCTGTGACACCAGGAGTCTGCTTTGCCACCTGCACAGTAGTCCAGGAAGCAAGGGGATTTATGACCCATGAGAAAAAAAACCTTCAAACGATTACTGGCAGGAGTTGGTGTACAAAGACTCTTGTTTGCAAGCTTCTTGGATGGGTTATTTTACCCTTGCTCCCAGAGTTTCCCCAGTGGAATTAAGCTCCAGTCTCCATGGTGGTAACTGACCAGTCAGTACATCTTTTGGTTGCCTTCTTATCCCTGTCTCTTTCCCGTTCTCTAATTTTATTTTAGTAAATGTTCTTTATTTTACCAAATAAAACATTTGAAAAGTCTTGTCTAAAAGTGTGTTTTCTGGGGAAATACAAACTAAGACAAAAGACCGAAGACATGTGACCTCTTTGATAGTGTGTGTTGTTGCTGGGCCAGGGCACACAGTTATGATAAATTTACAAAGTTGCTGAGCCAGGGATTCCAGTTCCCATCCTGTCTGTATCTCGGTGGGGTCATGTGACTGAGTTATAGTCAATAAAATATAAATAGAAGTGATGTATAGCACTTCCAGACCTGGTTCATGGAAACCTCTTGTACCTCCCACACTTCGTTATTCTAGGTGTCAACACACAAGGCAGTCTTGGAAACCACATGTTGAAACTGGCAGAGCATCTCTTAGCCTGTATCTCTGATTAACTAACCAAAGCTATGAAGGTGGACCCCCCACCCCACCCCTGCCTCTCCAACAAAATAAGACCTCTGATTCCAACTGGGCTTTATATTAGCAGGAAGCCAACTTCCATTATGTTAAACCATTGAGATTTGGAGTTTCATCTGTTATGCCAACTAGTACCAACCTAATCAATTCTGAAGTTGCCAGAATTTAAACAAATGTGTTACCATTTCAAAAACTGTTATTATCAGAAAGACCCTTGGAAAGAGGAAAAAGTGAAATAGGTTCAGAGATAAATGCCAGAGGTCACATGGGGAAGAGCATGGACTTGGAAGCATGCTGCCTAGTTTGAATGCTGGCTCTGACACGTACTGACTATCTGATCTCGGGCAAGCTACTTAATTTCTTGGTGCTTCACTTTCTTTCTGTATGAAATGGGGATGACAATAGTAACTAACTTATGAGGTTACTATAAATTAATATTTGAAAAACACTTAGCTTAGTGCCTGGCACACAGTTATGATAAATTTACAAATTCCTAATTTTCCAAAGGCCATAATGAAGTCTTTGCATTGCTTCCTACAATACAAGCTAAACTGTTCTGCTGTTATGATCATGTCAAAGCAACCGAGATGGCTTTAGGACTATGGATGTCCTTCCTTTGCAATATGACTTGGTTACAATAAATAGGAATTTTCCAGAGTTTACTCCACTCAGAGGTCAGTTGGTATCTTGGGCTACTGGTTTTAGGCTGTGTTAGCTTTACGCAGATCATTAACCTGAAAAGCAATGCTCATCTCTTGACCCTATTTAGTTTTTGCCCACTGACCTACAGAGAAGATTGCTCAACCTACTTTTGAGATAATCCTTTATGTGCATTTATTCACCTATTTGACAATTTTTTGAGCCTTACACCAGACACTATTTTCCAACTTAGGGTTAGCATGTAAAACAAGAAAAATGTTAGACTGTATTTCTTTTCAAAGGTATGAATAAACGAGGAGTTGGGACAGTTGTAAATGAGCACAATAACCTGTAAAAATTCATTCATTCAGTTAACAATATGCTAGAATCTTAAAAAAATAAAGATTAAAAATTAGTAGTCACCCTCGTTTGTGTTTCTGTCATGTTGAAGTAGGAATACTTCAAGAACTGGGCTCTTGTTGAGCACATCCAGATGTGGATAAAGCCCCAGAAAACATCTATTTAACAGCATTAGACATTAGAGGTGCCAAGTTTCTGTGGAAGGAGAGTAACCCAGAGATATACCCATTTGAATGCAGAGTTCCAAAGAAGAGCAAGGAGAGATAAGAAAGCCTTCCTCAGTGATCAGTGCAAAGAAATAGAGGAAAACAACAGAATGGGAAAGACTAGAGATCTCTTCAGGAAAATTAGAGATACCAAGGGAACATTTCATGCAAAGATGGGCTCAATAAAGGACAGAAATGGTATGGACCTAACAGAAGCAGAAAATATTAAGAAGAGGTAGCAAGAATACATAGAAGAACTGTACAAAAAAGATCTTCACAATCCAGATAATCACAATGGTGTGATCACTCACACCTAGAGCCAGACATCCTGGAATGTGAAGTCAAGTGGGCCTTAGGAAGCATCACTACGAACAAAGCTAGTGGAGGTGATGGAATTCCAGTTGAGCTATTTCAAATCCTAAAAGATGATGCTGTGAAAATGCTGCACTCAACATGCCAGCAAATTTGGAAAACTCAGCAGTGGCCACACGACCGGAAAAGGTCAGTTTTCATTCCAATCCCAAAGAAAGGAAATGCCAAAGAATGCTCAAATGACTGCACAATTGCACTCACCTCACATGCTAGCAAAGTAATGCTCAAAATTCTCTAAGCAAAGCTTCAACAGTATGTGAACTGAGAAACTTCAGGTGCTCAAGCTGGAATTAGAAAAGGCAGAGGAACCAGAGATCAAATTGCCAACATCCATTGGATAATACAAAAAGCAAGAGAATTCCAGAAAAAAACATCTACTTCTGCTTCATTGACTATGCCAAAACCTTTGACTGTGTGGATCACAACAAATTGTGGAAAATTCTTCAAGAGATGGGAATACCAAACTGTCTTATCTGTCTCCTGAGAAATCTGTATGCAAGTCAATAAGCAACAGTTAGAACCGGACATGGAACAATGGACTGGTTCCAAATTTCAGAAGGAGTACATCAAGGCTGTATATTGTTACCCTTCTTGTTTGACTTATATGCAGATTACATCATGAGAAATGCCAGGCTGGATGAAGCACAAGCTGGAATCAAGATAGCCAGGAGAACTATCAAAAACCTTCGATATGCAGATGACACCACACTTATGGTAGAAAGCAAAGAGGAAGAGCCTCTTGAGGAGAGTGAAAAAACTGGCTTAAAACTCAACATTCAAAAAACTATGATCATAGCATCCAGTCCCATCACTTCATGGCAAATAGATGGGGAAACAATGGAAACAGTGAGAGACTATTTCCTTGGGCTCCAAAATCACTGCAGATGGTGACTGCAGCCATGAAATTAAAAGACACTTGCTCCTTGGAAGAAAATCTATGACAAATCTGGACAGCATATTAAAAAGAAGAGACATTATTCTGTCGACAACGATCTGTCTAGTCAAAGCTATGGTTTTTCCAGTAGTCATGTATCGATGTGAGAGTTGGACCATAAAGAAAGCTGAGTGCCGAAGAATTGATGCTTTTGAGCTATGGTGTTGAAGAAGACTCGTGAGAGTCCTTTGGACTGCAAGATGATCAAACCAGTTCATCCTAAAGGAAATCAGTCCTGAATATTCATTGGAAGGACTGATGCTGAAGCTGAAGCTCCAATACTTTGGTCACCTGATGGGAAGAACTGACTCTTTGGAAAAGACCCTGATCCTGGAAAGATTGAAGGCAAGAGAAAGGAATGACAAAGGATGAGATGGCTGGGTGGCATCACGGACTCAATGGACATGAGTCTGATCAAGTTCTGGGAGTTGGTGTGCTGCAGTCCATGAGGTTACAAAGAATCAAACAGGACTGAGCGACTGAACTGAGCTGCACTGAACTGAGGCAACACCAAGCCTGGAATTGTGCATCAACAGCAAGGTAGATGAATCTTACAAATATAACCTTGAATGAAAGAAGCCAGATGCAACATTGTACATATGGTATGATTCTATGTCTGTAAAGTTAAACAATCAGCAGAATTAGTCTGTGTTGCTAAAAGTCAAGATAACGAATACGCTTGTGGGAAGATGGAGAGTAACTGGAGGAGGGGCACCCCCACCCTATTAACGTTCCTTTTCTTGTGTTATATGCTTGTGCTCACTTTGTGATAATTCATCATTGTATACTTGGGACATGTGACGTTTCATGTATGTTTATTACATTCAAGACAAAGTTTTTAAAACTCTCTCTAAATTCGGAAGACTTGCCCCAGGCAGAGCTCATAGACTTCCGGAGGAAGTCTTCCCCAGTCTGAACCTGCGCTTCACCAGATCTCAGTCTTCAGCACAGGGTTGCAGGAGACCATTTTATGGGGGTTGGGGGTTGGAGAACTTCTGGGAGGGACCCGGCGTGGGCATCCGAGACTCTTTGGAGGAAGAGTTTGAGGACTCTGAAAATTGTGTTCAAAATGTTGTATATACGTGTGCACATGCCTTCCCAGAGGAGGGATCCACAGGTTTCACCTCGTCTACCGCCCCTCAGTCCCGAAAGGGAGGGTCACGCAAGAGCTGCTGTCTAGGTCAAGGGACCTGCAATCTAGCACCTAACCTGGGGCCCCGGCGGTCACACTCACCTTGGGCCTCAGTGTCTCTCTCCAGCGGTCTCCGGGGTTGTTGCGGCTCGTACATATTGGTGCGGACCTCTAGCTGGCGAGCGGAGATCCAGCCTCGCAGCTCCCGGCGCTGGGCCGAGATGCAGCCCAGGCTCGGCTGGTGAGATGCCGGCGCAAGGGATGGGGGTGTGGCGAGGGCGATCCGCCGGAAGAGCGAACCTTTGGAAGGAGGCGGATCCGCCCCCTCGCGGGCAGGTACAGCTAGTTGAGGCCCTGGGAGCCAGGTAGGTGTCGCGCGCCGACGAGGAGAATGAGGCTCGTCTGCTCCCTGCTGTGCGCGGCCGCCCTGGGTGAGTGCGCGCTGGAAGCTGGGTGAGGGCTGCCCCTAGGATGGGGATCGGGTACCAGCAGAGGGTCAGCCACGGCGGGACGCTACACTGCCTGGGCTAGGGCGGCTTCGAAGTAGCCGAGTCTGGCTGGCTGCAAAATGCCTTCCACCCCCGGAGGTGTATCAGTACACCCGACAGGCAGTCGCCCTTGAAGAAGCCCTATAGGCTAGGACAGGAGTTCACAAATCCTATGACCAGCCGGCCAAATTCCGGCAGCTGCCTGATATACAGCAGACTGAGCTAAGAATGGGTTTTACATCTTCACATGGGTGGAAGGAAACAAAAAGAAAAATAGTTTTGACACATGAGAATTAAATGAAATTCAAACGTCAGGTCCATACCTAACACCTCCCTGCAACAGGATCAGGCTCAGTCAGTTAAGTCCTATCCACGGCTGCTTTGGGGCTTCCCAGGTGGCCCAGTGGTAAAGAATTCTCCTGCCAGCGGAGGATACGCAGGTGTGATTTCCGGGTGGAGAAGATTCCCTTGGAGGAGGAAATGGTAACCCACTCCAGTATTCTTGAGGGGAAAATCCCATGGACAGAGGAACCTGGCAGGCTACAGTCCATAGAGGCGCAAAGAGTCAGACCTGACTCAGCGACGAAACAGTAACAACAACAATAGCTGCTTTCAGGCTTTAAGGCGGGGTTGAGTAGTTCCCGCAGAGAGTGTATGGCTCACAAAGCTAGTCATGGCCTAAGGAGACCAGTAAGGAAAATGTTCAGGACCCCTTGCCTGAAGGCTGTTCATCCCATTTAGAGTGGAGGAAACGGGGTCAGACTTTTCCCCCCAGGACTCACAGACTATTAATAAGAGGGGCTGAAGCCCCTGCGGTAATCTTGTCAAGTGTCTAACCAGAAGGATATTTCCGGCACTGAATGTCCAATGCCTCCCATCCCTACTATACACTAGAGAGGTGGACAAATATGGGGGACAAACACCCACCCTAGAATGAGATCCACCCGCCACTCAGTGCCATGTGACTCTGAGTGGTCCCTTGCCCTCTCTAAGCTAATTTACTCTTCAGTAGAAATTACTTTTTCAAAACAAACACAGTTGCTGTGCACGTGAGGTGAGGTCATGTGCCTAAGGGCAGAGCTCTAGGCACAGATGTGTTATCACTGGAAAAAAATCCTGCACTTAAATGAAGGGGGCCCCGTCCTGTGTTGGGATACGGGCGCGGCTCTTGGTTGGGTAATTGTAAGGAAGGTAACAGCACAAAGTCACTGAGCTCATGCAGGTGGAAGCCCTCCCAGGCTGAACGACTGGGTTCCGTCCAGCGCTGGTTCTGTCAGGTCTCAGGTTGTCTTAAGTCGTTTCTGGGGCAGCGTATCTATCCTGGAGGGAGCGGTAACCTGGGCTGGGCAGAAGAAGGCAGGAAGTGCAAGCAGTGCTTTCTGGGCCTCCCTGGCCAGTGGCTGCCATCTAGGGCCACCAGAGGGACCTCTGCTGGGGCTGAGGAAGGCTGGCAGGGTTGCTGCTGCTGTGGTCCACCTATGGCCACGGGAAATCTACAGCGCAGCCCCTAGGTCTCTCCCGTTCTCCCTGAACAGTGCTCGTGTTGTTCGTTCTTCCCCACCCTTCGCCTGGCAGTGTCAGGCACTGACACTCTCCCAGGCAGCTCTGTGTTTACTAAGCAGAGGCGAGAGCTGCCTCTCCTCTGTCCTCGGCCCACTCCACCCCAACATTTCATCCCTCTTGGCCCGCAGCAAGGCTGGAATTGGGGACTGGCTTTCTTCAGAGCTCAGTGTTCTTTTCCAATAAAAATTCTTCAGGTGGCAGATGACAGGAATGTGACCAAACTAGCTTAAACTAAAATTGTCAGTGGAGAGGGGGTGGTGGTTAGGACACGTAAGAGCCAAGAACCAGGGGCTCAGAACAGCCTGTCCCTCCACCTCGGCTTCCGCCTTTCTCGATCTTTCGCTCTTCTGGGGAAGAGATTTCTCTGCACAGTGAGCATGAGCCACCAGATTGAAATATTTGAGGTGGGCTCTGAGTACCCCTTCTTGAAATTGTCGCATGATCTGATGGAGCGTTATTGATGGCTGGTCTAGTTTAGGCTATCTGACTCCATTGACCCTTAGCTTGCTTACATACACTCTCTTTCTTTTTGAAATAACTTTTACTTACATTTTAGATAATGCCTTTCTTTGTGTACACATACAGTTCAATGAATTTCAACAAATATGCCTACCCACATAGCCACCACCACAATCAAAACACAGAACATTTCCGTCACTCTCAAACCGTCCACTATCCCTTCCTAGCCATTCCCATTTTTTCCCACTTTAGATAAGGTTTTCCTTTTCTAAGGTTTCACATAAATGGAATTATATAGTACCTAGTCTTTTGTGTCTGGCTAATTTCATTCAGCATAATTGTTTAGAGATTCATCTACATTGTTGTTCACTCCTTTTTACTGCTTAGTAGTATTTCACGATGTGTCTTTACTGCAGTTTGTTTTCCATTACTTTCTTAGTGGATGTTTAGATTGTCTTCAGTTCAGTTCAGTCGCTCAGTCGTGTCCGACTCCTTGTGACTCCATGAACCGCAGCATGCCAGGCCTCCTTGTCCATCACCAACTCCTGGAGTTTACCGAAACTCATGTCCATTGAGTCAGTGATGTCATCCAACCATCTCATCCTCTGCTCTTTGCATCAGGTGGCCAAAGTATTGGAGTTTCAGTTTCGACATCAGTCCTTCCAATGAACACCCAGGACTGATCTCCTTTAGGATGGACTGGTTGGATCTCCTTGCAGTCCAAGGGACTCTCAAGAGTCTTCTCCAGCACCACAGTTCAAAAGCATCAGTTCTTTGGCGCTCAGCTTTCTTTATAGTCCAACTCTCACATCCATACATGACTACTGGAAAAACCATAGCCTTGACTAGATGGACCTTTGTTGACAAAGTAATATCTCTGCTTTTTAATATGCTGTCTAGGTTGGTCATAACTTTGCTTGCAAGGACTAAGTGTCTTTTAATTTCATGGCTGCACTCACCATCTGCAGTGATTTTGGAGCCCCCAAAAATAGTCAACCACTGTTTCCACTGTTTTCCCATCTATTTGCCATGAAGCGATGGGACTGGATGCCATGATCTTAGTTTTCTGAATGTTGAGCTTTAAGTCAACTTTTTCAGGTTGGGGATATTATGACTAAAACTGCTTTGACTATTAGTATCCAGGTCTTTGGGTGGACATATATTTTTATTTCTTTTGGGTGAATATCAAAGAGTAGCATTGCTGGGTCATAATGGTAAGTGTATGTTTAACTTGTTAAGAAACTGTCAATTTTTTTGAGTAGTTGTACCATTTTACATTCCTACCAGCAATATGAGAATTTCAGTTGCTCTACATCCTGCTAACACTTGGTGTTGTCAGTATTTTCACAGCTAGCCTTTCTAACAGATATGTGTGGTAGCTCACAAATTGCATTTCTCTGAAAGTAATAATGCTGAGGATTTTTTTCATGTTTTTATTGGCCACTTGTATATCTTCTTTTATAAAGTATCTATACAAATATTTCCCTATTTATCAACTGGATTATTTGACTTCTTGAGTTAAAAAGCCCTTTATATTTTCTAGATGCAAGTCCTTGGTCAGATAAAGTGTATTACTTACACTTTACTTACATATTACTCAGTCATTTCCAACTCTTTGTGACCCCATGGACTATAGCCCACTAGGCTCCTCTGTTGTGGAATTCTCCAGTCAAGAATACTGGAGTGGGTAGCCATTTCCTTCTCCAGGGTATCTTCCCAACCCAGGGATCAAACCTGGGTCTTCAACATGCAGGTAGATTCTTTACTGTCTGAGCCACCATGGATAGATGTATTATAAATATTTACTCCAAATTTGTGGCTTAGTTTCCCATTTTCTAAATGATTTCTTCTGAAGAGCAAATGTCTTACATTTTGATCAAGTTCACTTACCTAATTTTCATTTTTTGTTATTATGTTTTGTGTCATCTCTAAAAATATAACTGGCTAGCCCCACAAGTTGCAGTATTTTCCTCTATTTTATTTTAGAAGTTTTATAGCTTCAGGTTTTGTAATTTGGTTTATGATACATTTTTAGTTAATTTTTGTGTGTGGTGTAAAGAAAGGATTGCGATTCATGTTTCTCGTATGGATATCTGGTTTTTCCAGGACTTGTTTTTGAAAAGAATATCCTTTCATCGCTGAATTACCTTGACAGCTTTGTTGAAAATCTACTGCCTCTATAGTAGTAGTAGTGTTATAGTATAGTAGTAGTTTTAGTTGCTCAGTTGAGTCTGACTCTTTTCGATCCCGTGAACTATAGTCCACCTGGCTCCTCTTTCCATGGGATTCTCCAGGCAAGAATACTGGAGCTGATTGCTGTTCCCTTATCCAGAGGATCTTCCTGACCCGAGGAACAAACCTGGGTCTCCTGCATTGCAGGCAGATTCCGTTTGAGCTACAGGGAAGACCTATTGCCTCTATATGGGTCAATTTCTAGACTGTTCTGTTACATTAAGCTTTAATCTCTCCTTATGACAAGATCATACTGCTTTGGTTACTATAGCTTTATAAGTCTTGAAATCAGATAGTATATTGTGCTACTTCAGTGTTGGTTTGGCCATCTAGATGTTTTGCATATCCAAACACAGTTTTGAATCAGGTTATCAATTTCTATAAAAAGCAAGATTAGGTTTGGAGTTTTATTGAGATAGCATTTATAGATTATTTTGAGGTGAGTTGACATCTTAATATTTAGTTTTCTAATCCATGAACAGTCTATATCTATTTATTTAGGTCTTCTTTCATTTATCTTGGGAGTATTTTGTAGTTTTCATGTACAGGTCTTATTCATAATTTGTTGAACTTATCTCTAGATAGGTCATTGTAAGTAGTATTTTTTAAGTTTCATTCTTGTAGCTTTTAATCTTTTTAGCATGGTAGAGATCTAGTTGATTTTAGTATATTAACCTCAAATCTGATGA